ACAGTATTTCTTCTCTCTTCCATCCCCCAGGCAAAAACGGGCAGTTAATCCTTAATCCACTGCAGGGGTTAACTTCTAAAATTCCCGGAGATCTATTTTAAATAATTTCGGTCTTCTTTACACTTATAAACATATTCCTCTTTCAGAGTTCCTCTTATTGCATCTCAAGCGTTTCCTGTAGGTATTTTAGTATCCTAGCATTCAGTTGCCATCATCAAGGAAGGCCACATGCACTGGCGGAACTAATAGGGTCGCAGCGGTCGCACTTGCAACCGGGACCAGGTGTTCCGCCAGTTCGGGGAGGGCCCAGAGAGAAGGGTAGCCGCTCGCAGCTACTCATGCTGCCCGCGGCGCCGCCGCCCTCTTCACCAAAGCCGGCCACAGTGTCTTTTGAGGCAGCGGTGAATAGAAGATGTAGCGCTGCGGGGGTGTGGCCTGTCAGGGGGTGTGGCCTGTCAGGTGGTGACGCCTGTCAGGGAACACCAATTCCCAGCAGGCAACTGAGGAGGGAGCAGCCCCGGCGGGATACACGCCATGCTGTAGGATATCCTGGCACTGGCAGCGTGGTCAGCGAAGACGGGGGGAGTGGCAGTCTTGAGCTGGACCCTGGAGGCACAGAGTTCGGGAGCACAGCTCACAGCACAGAGTGAGGAGATTCTGGAGGAGAGCTGCAGCAGGTCCAGGTAGGTACTGATTGTTCATTGTTGTATATGTGCAGAGTAGTGTCATTGTCTTGCACTGTCATTTTTTTTCCCAACAAAAAATAAAATAATTTTATTATTTTTGATTTGGGAAAAAAATTACAGTGCAAGACAATGACACTACTCTGCACATTGCCTGCTGGGAATTGGAGTTCCCTGACAGGCCACACCCCCGCAGCGCTACATCTTCTATTCTTGACCGCTGCCGCAAAAGACACTGCGGGCGGCAGCGGTGAAGACCTCGGCAGCGGCGCCGCGGGCAGCATGGGTAGCTGCGAGCGGTTAAAAAGAGATTGAGGACACAGAGCCGTCAATCTCTTTTTCTGTATCCCCTGTTATCAATGAACAGGAGTCTATACTGAGTGTTCCTGTTCAATCATAACATGAGACATTGAGTATGATTACAATAACCACTCTCCCCTCTGACACAAAAAAAAACCCCTTTCAAACTGGTTTGAAAAAAAAAGGGGGTTATAATCGTGTTTTTTTGGTGGGGGAGGGGGGCCTTTAATGGTTTCTTGCACCGGGGCCCTGAGGTTTCTAGTTACGCCTCTGGCCACATGTGTGATGTGAACAGGCCTTAATGTAATATATACCCAGTTTAAATGACTTTGTTCCAACAATATTCTTCATTGCTGCATGTTTCTCTGTGGTCTCCTCCCTAGTGATCAGACAAGCTGCATCAGTTCAAGAATTCAGGTCCAGCCACCAAATCTCAGCTACTGCTGTGTCCCAGGGACAGGTACACTTCAGTGAAAGTATGCATTATAAAATGCTCGCTTTTATGTTTTTGTGATTGTATTAAGTACAGAGATTTGTAGACTAACCACTGGCAGAAGCTTTGCACTTATCTGAGCCCAATTCATCCTCCGCACTTAACATCTGTAGCGATTAGATGTCAGCCACACAGAGAGTTCTTTGTTTCAACGACTTAACTAACTCAGACGTGCAATAAAAAGCGACAATATGTCTCCAAAAATTAATAAAATGTACCAGCAAACAAGAAGAGAAAAACTTACCTCTTCCATCACCCGCCCAGCCGACAGCTATCGAAGGAATATCATCCCCTGAAATCTCTGCAGAAGCTGATGCTTCTGGAGTGTTGATGTCCCGCGTCAGCTAGCTTCTGAAGCATTCATTTCTGCAAAGGCTTCAGGACTGACGTATTACATTTTTTGCTATGGAGCCTGCAAAGCATTGCAACCGCGATCTGTGGAACAGGAATGCATTGCTCAGGCTCCTGCAGACGGTTCCTCCAGCCCATATTCATACTGATGGACAGCATTTTAGTTACAGGGCTGGAGGAACCGACTACATGTGCAGTCTACAGAGGACTATATATGCAGTCACTACACAAGATCTGCGATATAGAAAAGGGGGGAATGTGGGGGCCCGATAGTGACCATGTTTCATGTTACACCTTAAAAGGAGAATTATGAGGTGAGTGATTTTCACTCAGCCTCATTATCTGAGCCGACCTGTGACAATGAGACTGTCACAGGTCGGCTCAAAATCGGGAAGTGAGCGAACACATACCGGCGCTCGCTCACTTCTCGATCATCTCCCTGCAGAGAGCCGTGACAGGGGAGGGACGGGATTCCCCCCCTCCCCTGTCCGATCCTCCAGCGCCGACTGGCGGAACAGACGGGGGAAGGGGCGGGTACAGCTGGCTCTGCCTCTAGATAGGCAGAGCCAGCTGTCACTCACGCAGCTGGGTGGATCCAGACATAATTGTCGGGATCCATTCCGGCTGCGGCGTCTGACAGGGGAGGGGCTGGATTCCCCCCTCCGATCCGCCAGTGCTGACTGGTGGAACAGATGGGGCGGGTACAGCTGGCTCTGCCTCTAGATAGGCAGAGCCAGCTGTCAGGCACGCAGTTGGACGGATCCAGACATAATTGTCGGGATCCGCTTCAGCTGCGGCGTCTCAGTATACCGCGAGCTACAGGGACAATCAGGAACAGTCCAAGCCGGTTTTCCCTGCACATTTTTCAGCAAGGCAGCAATCAAACTCAGATCTGTTCCTGACAAACAGGGTGCCCCCTAAGGCCCTGTTGACACCAACGGGGTATAGTTTTTGCTCATTTGTTAAAGCAGGTTAAGCGTGCTTTTTGTTCCCCACGTTTGTTACATTTTTGCAAGTGTGAAAACGTGCATTTTGACTGGCAGCTCAAGAAATATTGCGATCAATGGATGAAAGCGCGTACAAACATAAATGAATATGTGCAACATGCTTCCGACGTGTATTTCCTGGTGTTTCCATTGAAGTCTATGGGGGGGGGGGGGGGGGAAGAACTTTCTGTGGGGGGGGGGGGGGGGGAGAGAGAGAGGAGCTGAAAACTGCCAAAAAAAGCTCATGTTCTTTTTTTTCTGCGTTTGGCGGTTTGCTGCTGGTGTTTTGCTGAGCGGTGTGGGAGGAGAGACGCCGGCCGCTCACAGTGGTCTCCCCCCGCAGCGCACTGCCACCTGTCACAGTTTCTTTCCTCCCTGCTGGGACACAGAGCAGTGCCCAGCGCGGAGGAGAGAATAGAACGGATGCACCGCTGTATTGGCCAGAAAATTGCACTTTTGGCATTATGCCAAATGTGCCATTTTCGGCCGATATGTTTCGACGGCTAATATATTGGTGCATCCCTCATTAAAAGCATTGGTGCAATGCAAGCCATCCATCCTAAATGAAACCCTAACGAACCTTGGGACTGACTTTGCATGCACTATTTGCCAGCCACACCACCAGTTAGGTCACCAAGGTGGGCTGGTGTGCCATTCATACCTACTTTCACCTAACAGAGAAATACGTTTGAAGGATACATACATATACTGAAATGAGATCAAACATAATCTGACAAATACTTACTGGTTTGTACTCAATTTTGGGCTTCATTTTGAGTCCAGATGACCGCACTCACCAATTCACTGTCCTGAAAGAACAAAAAGTAATATCTTGTCACATTTATTATTTAAAATGTGAATACTTTATCCGGTTCAAATCATTCATATCTGGATTCATTTACATTAACACAATCTGAGTACTGTAATACATTTGTGAGCAAAGCTTTCCATTACAGGAATATAGACAAAACTGTACATACATGTAAAAGTATTCAGCAGTCAATACGGTCACATACAATATATGAACAGAGTGCTGCACTGGTCGTAGCAGCAACATCCAAAGGCGGCCACAAACCGCCTGCCCTATACACATCATGTGATACAGATTCGTGTGTTGTCACACTGGAAAGCCACATAGTTGTGAAAAGTCCACAAAGCAGTTCCTGTCCACCCATCTTGTGACTGGATGACAGTGACCTTGACTCGCTGTGTTCACTTCACTATAAAGACTAGCTGTGCATGAAGGAATATTGATGGCTAATCTTCACATGGAATAATAAATCACACTGTTATTTGGCATTTAAAGACATTTTTAAATTAACCTAAAACAGTCAACTAACATCACAGAGTCAGAGCGGGCACTGGGGTACCTAATTTTAGCTACCTCCTATTCTCTGTGCATGAAGAGTCTCCCCATTATGGATGTATACTATGTGCCCATTCACACGCCGTAAGGATGTGCACGCCCGTGCAGAGACCTGCTCCTGGGCGGGACAGGTCCTGCGTGTAATTGCGTGCAGCCACCTATATCCCCCTTTTAGAGGGCCCGTCTGCATGCTGACCTGAACCTGCACATCCATGCAGGCCTGCGTGCCTGCACTTGGACGCACACTTTCTGTATCCGCATGCAGCCACGTCCTTCCATAGGAAGGTACAGGCTGCTGAACGCAATTTCACGCAGCACCTGTCCCTCCCGAGAGCACGTCTCTGCATGGGTGTGCATACCGTGTGGATGTGCACCCACGTGTGAATGAGCTCTAAAACTTAACACTTAGGCCTCATGAATGTAGGAATAAAAATACATGAGTACAGGTGCGCTTGGAGCTCATTTCTGTACCCACCTGGGAGCATGCAATGTTTTGGTATGGTAGAATGCACACCTAGACGTTTAGCAGCATCTAAGTTCGGGGGCACAGGCTCAGAGTTGCAGCATTCTGTCACTCAGAGTAGCAGCATTCTGTCACTCGGGGCACAGGCTCAGAGTTGCAGCATTCTGTCACTCAGAGTAGCAGCATTCTGTCACTCGGGGCACAGGCTCAGAGTTGCTCCCCCTCCCTCCCAAGGGACAAGTTCTCCATCCACGCACCCAGTGGCACCCCTCCTAAAGCGTCACATGCCCCCCCCCTAGCTTTGGCCCTGTGTCTAGATACACTCAGTCAAACTGTGTTTACGGTGTTGTGGGGCCGAGGAGCCAGGTTTTATGCAGCATGTAAATGGATCTAAACCCAGGGAGAAATGACCAGGAAAGCATAAGGCCCCATTCAAACCTAGGCCTTTTGTAGCTGGAAGCTCTAAGCTACAAAACACTTAACACAAGGAATCCCATTGTTTTCTATGGGCCCTGTTCACACCTGAGCATTTTGTCGCTTGTAGCAAAACGCCTGTAGGTTGAAAAAGTACATGAGCTTATTTCAGGCAGGTTTGAGGGTTTCTGTGCCCAAAGACTTTAAGGCATTTCCATTGAAACACAACCACAAGTGTTTGAGCTGTTATGGTGCCCAGTGCATGGACACCATAACAGCCCGCCGGCTCGAAGGTTTAGGCGAGTATAACTTTTTTTTTTTATCCTAGGCAAAAATAAGCATTTAACCCTTGCAGTGCAGGGGTAGCCCCACTGAAAGGGTTAATAACATTTCTGAATGACTGTACGAGATTCTAACCGTTTATATACCCAGCTTAAGGAGAGGTTTACTTTAAGATGTGATCCTGGAAGAAGTGTGCAGTCTGCAGTAATGGTGTCACACAAGTCATGCGGCATCCTGGAATGAGGAAATAACTGCACTAGCCATCTAATCCTCAACTGAGTCATCACTGCAGTCAGCAAATATCAGACCTGTTGTTTTCCCAATTACAACACTTATGTGGGTAAAGGTTCTTTCCTTGTTTCTCGAGTCATGGCGCATAGCAATGCACTGAAAGAACTAATGACAATGTGCTAGTGCAGTGACCCACAGCAACCAATTAAAATGCTTCATTCACAAATATGACAACAGTAAAGTCAGATGTATTGAGTGTGTCACACCAATGGTAGTCCAAGATAAATCAATTTATTTACTTCCTATCAAAGTAAAATAGTAAATGCATTTCAGGGGCTCCAACACTTATTTATTCCAGGTATTTATATAGTGCCAACAATTTATGCAGCGCACATTCACATCAGTCCCTACCTTCAAGGAGCTTACAATCCAAGCTCACATGCATACGAGGGCCAATTTTAGACAGGAGCCAATTTACCTCCCAGCAGGTCTATGGAGTGTAGGAAGAAACCAGAGTACCCAGAGGAAACCCACGCAAGCACAGGGAGAACATGCAAACACCACAGAAGAGGGAATTATAGTTTTCAATGGAGTACAAGTGCAGTGATGTTACCGCAATTATAGTCCATTGATACTTGAAGTTCATACCTGTGGATACAAAGGCTGGGAGAACAGTCTGCAGGAGCCTGAGCATTGTACACAAGATTCACTGATCGTGGGTGCCGGGCTCCAGGGCAGTACGAGTGGTGTGGGGCTGACCTTTGCTGTGCCTGTCTCTACGGGTGCCAGGAAGGAGGAGGAGCAGATGTGGGACCAGACAGGCACTGTCAAAGACAGCTACCTGAGGTCTCCAGCAAGCCCAGGAACTCAGGCAGCCGAATTTCTTAAAACATTTAAAAGGGCCGGTATCGGTACAAGTACTCATGAAAATTCCCTGTATCAGCCCCGATACCAATACTAGTATTGGTATCAGGACATTCCTAATGTTAATGTGTGCGTTTTAGCATGCGTTGCCACAACAAGTGTGAATGGGCCGTAAGACGGGCTCTAATCCTTCCACGCTCTGTCCAAAACTTCAAAAAAGTTATGCCTATCCATAAAGTTTCAAAACCTTACAATGACGGAAGTGTAAAGCTGTCCATACACTGATAGGATACACAATATATGCGACTTTAATGTCATCAATATAAAGTAACTCTGTTTTGAACTAGAGCATTGAGCAGCATGTAAAGCCGGCCATGCTCCGATTCCAGACGAGTCTTGCTGACTAGGCCGACATTTGAGCAGTGTGTGACCCTGCTGGCACCTGCCTGTTCCGCAAAAATCATTCTTGCTATCAACTGTTGCCTAAGGAGCCGGGTCGAAATTCTTTCGGCCAGCAGTGACTTCAACCAGCTGTCAAAAGGCGGGTGCTGGCTGTCAGAAAACAATAGCGTACAAGAGATTCCCCCATCCAGGCTGGTTAGTGTGGCTGGTGCAGTTGACTTTTTTCTCTTCCAGTACGCTGAACTGAATAAGAGAAAACGCTGAGTGTATGGCCATAGTTACTATTGACTTATCTTATCTCTTTTAAAGGACGAGCATAAAAATAACTCTATGGGACGGTAAACAGTTTCTAAGTATACACTTGTTGGCCAACTTTTTCACTACCTTTACATAATCATAAAATCAAATTGCTGTAGCTCATATAGATTACAGCAAACAAGGCGAGCAGATCTGAAAGACTTGTATATAGAACCTAGTGACAGAAATTAGATTAATACAGAAAGAAGTATACCCTTCTTTCTGTATTATTCTAATTTCTGTCACAAGGTCCCATATACAAGTCCTTACTTCAGATCTGCTCCCCTATGGCCATATGCTCAGCGTTTGCTCTTATTCAGTTTAGCGTACTGGAAGAGAAAAAAGTCAACTGCATCAAGGGCTCATTCACACTATCTCCATTTAGCTGTGCCGATCTGCATAGACCAAGGAAAGGCAACCTTGGAACTCCAGCTGTAATGAAACTACAAGTCCCATGAGATGTTACAAGAAAGACTGACAGCCACAGGCATTCCTCCCAGAGGCATTATGGGATTTGTAGTTTCATCACAGCTGGGGTGCCGAGGTTGCCTATCCCTGACATAGATCAACACAGGCTCAATACAAGGGCACATAGAAAACAATTGTTCTCTATGTGCCGTGTTCATACCACAACACTGTGCAGAGGTGGATGATGGAGCATTGTGTAAAAATGCAGACATGGTGTATTTTTTATGCAGTGTTACGCAACGCTCTGCATGTCACCTATTGGAATAGTCTGACGGCACAATGGAAAGAAGACTGGTGCAGATCGCGGGCATACGTTTATCATGCTAATCCTTTTTAAACGTGAACCTGAACTTTGTCCAAGTCATGCATCTGCTGCACTGCAAGCATAGGAGAGAGGCATTTATTGTACCCTGCGGCAGTTTCTCCTCTCCGGCAGAAGTTTCTCCTCTACAAGACAACACTCAGGAATGGCAATCACTCACTAATCCTGTATCATGGGACTACTGGATATGTGTTCCCCAAATACCCCTAAGTACCCGGTGTTTCTCAGAGCTTCAGCAACAAATCAATGTGCTAGGAGGAGAGTCTATACAGATTATGGAGCTTCTTATAAGGGGAACCTGTTACTTTGACAAGTATGGGCAAACCACAGGTCCGCTTTATTTTAAAGACTCATGCACGCGGGCATAATAAAATAGTGAATTCTACGCAGGAACCTGCCGACAGAAAGATCTTGTGTACAAAAATGGTCCGTAAATTGCTTCTGTTTGCACAAGCTTATATACGTAAATGTTCACAACATTAAGATTCTTCTTCCACTCCTTTAGCTCAGTTCTCAATCCTAGATATATAGTTATTTGTATTACACTGTGTGGAGGTGAACACAGTGGTTTTTACTAGACATGAGCGATTCGTTTCGTTCCGAATCGAAATTCGGACGAATTTTCGTAAATTCGGACATTCGGATGTATCCGAATTCCGAATTACAGACATAACGAATGCAAACGAATCCGAATTTCCATTT